CAAACCTTTTTTGATGATTTTTTTTAAACTACTCGGCTAAATAAGGTCCGATTTTGAAATATTATACCGTTTTGAATTCGTACGGAGCCCTACTATCAATTTGCATTCAAAGAAATTATAAATCGATAGGGTAAACAAAGTTGTGAACCCAAAAACGATTCATTTGTAAAGTCAACCTTTCTTGATGATTTTTTTGGAATAGCTCGGCCAAATAATGTCAGATTTTGGAATTGTATACCATTTTGGACTCGTAAGGATCAGTACTATCAATTGGCATCAAAATAATAATAACCTAAATTTTGACCCAAATTGGCTCTAAAAACGATATATCTCCGCGCTCTAAAAACGACATATATCCGCGGAAGATATGACGTTTGAAAACGACATAACTCCAATTTTTGAATATCTCGGCCAAATAGTGTCCGATTTTCAAATTGTATACCATTTTAGACTCGTAAGGATCAGTACTATCGACTGGCATCAAAAAATAGAAAATCTAAATTTTGACCCAAATCGACCAAAATGGCAAGGGGTTACATCACGATTTTTATCAAAATCGAGTTCGGTTCGAAAATCAAACCTTTTTTGATGATTTTTTTTAAACTACTCGGCTAAATAAGGTCCGATTTTGAAATATTATACCGTTTTGAATTCGTACGGAGCCCTACTATCAATTTGCATTCAAAGAAATTATAAATCGATAGGGTAAACAAAGTTGTGAACCCAAAAACGATTCATTTGTAAAGTCAACCTTTCTTGATGATTTTTTTGGAATAGCTCGGCCAAATAATGTCAGATTTTGGAATTGTATACCATTTTGGACTCGTAAGGATCAGTACTATCAATTGGCATCAAAATAATAATAACCTAAATTTTGACCCAAATTGGCTCTAAAAACGATATATCTCCGCGCTCTAAAAACGACATATATCCGCGGAAGATATGACGTTTGAAAACGACATAACTCCAATTTTTGAATATCTCGGCCAAATAGTGTCCGATTTTCAAATTGTATACCATTTTAGACTCGTAAGGATCAGTACTATCGACTGGCATCAAAAAATAGAAAATCCTAATTTTGACCCAAATCGGCCAAAACAGCATCACGTTTTTTATCAAAATCGGGGTCGGCTCGAAAATCATACCTTTTTTGATAATTTTTTTTGAATTACTCGGCTAAATAACGTCCGATTTTAAAATATTATACCGTTTTGAATTCGTACGGATCCCTACTATCAATTGGCATTCAAAGAAATTAAAAATCGATAGGGTAAACAAAGTTGTGAACCCAAAAACGATTCATTTGTAAAGTCAACCTTTTTTTGATGATTTTTTTGGAATAGCTCGGCCAAATAATGTCAGATTTTGGAATTGTATACCATTTTGGACTCGTAAGGATCAGTACTATCAATTGGCATCAAAATAATAATAACCTAAATTTTGACTCAAATTGGCCAAAACAGCAAGGGGTTACATCACAATTTTTATCAAAATCGAGTTCGGTTCGAAAATCAAACCTTTTTTGATGATTTTTTTTGAATTACTCGGCTAAATAAGGTCCGATTTTGAAATATTATACCGTTTTGAATTCGTACGGATCCCTACTATCAATTGGCATTAAAAATTAAAAATTCCCACATTTTAGGCAGTGTTTCTAAAATAATAATATACACAGATCCAGTATCTTATATTTGATCGCTATGTCAATTTTAAATTTAATAAATTAAATTAAATTAAATTTAGCAGATAGTTTATTTTGACAAGCTGTTAAGTTTGTGATCAAATGATGTGGCACGTTCGCAGAGTTAGCTGAAACTAAAAATTAAACATGGGCTCACAATTGTGACCCTTAACACCAAAAAACACGTCTGTTCGATTTGCTACTTTGTTATTGTTCTTGTTGCTTTGTTGTTAATAGCTTAATTAAGCGGCGTTTATGTAAACACGGCGCCTAGCTTGAATTATGTTCCCATGAACTGCGCTGACATGACGCCCACGCGCAACCTTAGACAGCAACAACAACAACAACAAGAGGCAATTGTTGCCACACGCCACAAGTCTTGAGTTTTGGCTGCTGTTGCAACTAGTCCAGCCAGTGGCAGCACATTTGAACCTGCCGCCAGTTGTGGCAGCTCCAAGTTGATTAATATCATCAGTCGCCGGCTTTGGCTGCGGGTGGAGCTGTTAATGCTGCCACAGTCCGCCCCGCCCCGCCCCGCCCGCTTAGTCCAAAGAGAGTTATTGTTAATGTTCATGACAGCTCGTGAATATGCTATTTAATGCCCGATTAACGACCGCCCAGCGTCTACTTTTGCATGCGGCGATGCTCCTCTCACCTTTGTTTGTTTACTTCACTCTGCCGGCTAATTAGTTGCACTCCATTATGCCGATTGGCTCTGGCTCTGGCTCTGGCTGTGGCTGCGGTGCCTTGGGCAACATGCGAGACCCAATCCATGCATGAAATATCACGCCAATTACGGGCCACAGCTCGAGTTAAGCTGAGAGCTTGGTCGGAGTCCGGTCCACAGTCTCGACAGCTCGCACAGTGGCTGCTGTAAGCGTGCGCCGCAAATTGAATCAATTAAATAACAAAAAGCAATACACCCAAATTGATTAACTCGCTCAGCCACAAACTATAAATACTCTAACAAAACAAATAGCCTATAATGAACCGACAAACGATTAATAAATGGAATTTTATTTTGAGCAAGCTTGAGATACATTCACTTGCAGATATGGATATATCAGATATTCGATGAGTAAAAGTCAAGTGTAGTATACGAAGGTATAAAAAGAAAGATATAGAAATAAGCTAAGAACAACTCAGAAAAATAAAAAGGCTTTCAGTAAAAAACATTGTTAAATTAGGGAAATGTTTTCTATGCGGAAAGTAAATAAAATCTCATTTAAAACATATAAATTTGAAATGATGTATTATGATATAAAATGATATATGAAATGATATATTATTCATTTAATTTAATTTCCAATTCTATTACTTAATAGAGTATAAGACGAACATATAAAGGCAGACTTTATTATATACATATATATACAATATTTAACTACTAAGCAAAAAGTGTGCCAACTGAACGACTCAGTCGATATGTTCTAAAACTCCAGTAGGGTATTAACAACCCACAAAGAAAAAACTGTAAACCGTCAACGTTAAGTGATTTTCGTCAATTATGTTTTCCGTCTGTGCGTCTCATTAAACATTTATAAGATTGATTGGGGCGGAGGAGAGGACTATTATTATTATTATGATGTCATAAACGTGTGTGCGATGTTATGTGCAATGCTAATCTCTCTCTCTCTCTCCTTATAGATGTCCCATTATCGCTTGTTGACACAGCTGCCCAGGCTCCTGCTCCTGCTGGTCGCACTGCAGCCAATCCAAGCTGAGCCGGCGGGCTACCACTACGATCGACCGGGCACGGCTCCATCGGCGCCCAGCGCGCCCGACTCGTCCGTCTATACGGGCCATCATTTTGCGCCGCTGCCCACGGTGCAGCCGCTGCCGCCGGTGCCTGCGCTGCCGCCGCTGCCCACAGCGCATGTGCCCATTCCCAGGAGTCGCCCGCAGCCCACTGGCAGCATCTTGAGCCGTTATCTGCCGGCACAGCCAGCTACTCCGGCTGTGAGCAGCTACTCGTCACCGTCCTTTAGCTCGCCGCAATCCTCCATCAGCTACCATGGCCAGGCGGGACATTTTGGCCAGCAGTCGGCGCCGCAATTGCTGCAGCAGCCCATCCATGTGCCGAGTGCTCCGGCTGCTGCACAGCCGCTGCGCGTTCCGTATGGCAAGCAGGCGCTGTTCGCGCCAGGCGAGTCGTATGTGGCCAATGGACGCCAGCTGAAGCAGTACGCGGTCATCGAGATCATTGACAACGACATCAACGAGAATCCGGCGCCGTTTCTCAGCTCCGGTTTCTTCGATCGCTATCGGGCGCATTTGGGTGCCACCGGCACCGGCGCCACAGGCAGCGGCCTCCAGCTGGACTCGCGCGCCAATGCCTTGTTGCTGGAGCAGCAGGCTCTGAGCCTGCAGCCGCGTTTGCAGAACCAGAATCAGGGTCAGAGCGATGCCATTGCCTTGGGCTCCGGTGGCCTGGGCTACATCCGTTTACCCAATGGCAATGTGTATCTGGGTTCCGGCTCTCTGGGCTATATCAGTGGCCAGCAGCGTGTCGCCTCCGTTCTGGATGCACGCACCCGTTCTGAGTCCACCTCGGATGCGTTGCACTTCGGCCATGGACCGTTGGGTGGTGCGGACAACTTTTTGAGATTTAAATGAGCATTTTTAAATTGTTTATTGTAAATATTTAAATAAAACAAAACAGTTTTATTGTGTAGTTTTTAAGCATCTTTAAATATCAATTTTACACATAATTGCAAGCATTTTGTATGTTTTCCTATGCGCACCGCTGAATATTCACAAAATAAATGCATTGAAAATGGATAAAGAGACGTGTTTTTTTTTTTTTAATTTACTGCTTGGGATTATTTTTATTTTGCAGCTGCTATTAAATCAATTAATCTTCAAATAGCGAACAACATATTGCTTAGAACAGATTCAAATAATCATCTTGCGCGCCTTAAAATTTAACAGTTTTCAGCACTGGCCTATCGATACATCTGCACAGTTAAACAACAGTACCATTTTGAGCTTAACAGTACTTTAATATGCGGCGTGGTTTATTTCAATTTACACAAGGAATTGCTTATCGGGTAGAAACTAAATATGAAATGCAGTCTTCTGCTTTTTCCTAAAATAAATTTGAACACAGCAAAAGTCAGACTTCACATTTAAATGCAGTGCTAACAGCTGTTATTTGAGCCCGCAATGGAAACAGCTGATGTATAGACTTGCCAACCTATTATTTGCACAGCATGTTGCTAGAGTGCCTGTAATACACATGTTGCTTGGCAACATTTTCTATCGATATACTCGATAGACACATGCTATCGACTTGGGCTAGGTGGAAGTATTCTTCTTCGAAATTCGTGCGGTGCGGTTGTGCGCGTCGGACAAAAAGGCCAAATGAGCGTTTTACCAATTGTTTAAAACACCAAACACGCGCAACACTGCAGACTTCACGAAACACGCTAAAAGCAAAAGTGAACAGCAAAACACGGTTAATCAAATTTCGACAAGACGCGCAAAGTTGCTCACCAGTTTTTTGTAAAACAGCTGCAAATAAGTTCAACTGAGTGAAACAAATTGTTTCGAAGAATAAAAAAAAAAAACAGTTGGATGCTGTGCAAAAAGCAACAAATCGACGACAAAAATCTCGTATATGCGTCTTATGCTGTGCCTGTGTGCGCCCTAAAAGTGTGTGATTGTATGTGTGTGCGTGTGTGGTCCAGTTTTGTGTATAACAAAAAGATTTTTGCGCTGAGTATCCTTTGAAGGTGTTGCTAAGGTTGTATCTGTATTGTGTAAAAGCTGAGCTGCAGCGCAGGATAACGCATTAGTCATCAGCGAATACAGCAGCAGAGCAGCGGGCAGCGCAGCCAGCGCATCCTGTCTGTTGGTGCCGGCTCGCACACAAACAAAAAAAGCAGTAAAAACAACAAAAAAAAAGCTACAGCACTAACAGCAACAACAACGACAACAACTTGTTCTCCATGCATCGTTTAACCCCTGCGTGCGTGTAACAACAACAACAACAAAAACAACCAAAAGAACGCAGGCAAAAAGGAAATTGAGAATGGAGCGTAAATTCACGCGCGGCTTGAATAAGCCGGGCATGGCCGCACAGCTGAGAGAGAGCGTCTCTCAGGTGGTGCGTGAGAGCGCCGTTTTGGTAAGTTGACTTTTTTCAGTTGTTTTTTTTTTTGTATTTTGTTTTTGCCGTTTGTTGTTATTGCATTTGCATTTGTTTCTCTTCGTGTTTTGTTCCCTATTTTCTAGCCTTGCTGCGTCTATGCTGTGGGTGTGTCCCGTTGCATGTCAGCCTATTGCCGTTGTTATTGTTGTTGTTGTGTGCAGTAAAAATACTAGCTGTAAATTTATATGATTATTTTGTATACCGTTTTCGAGCAGTCTTCAATGTTTTCTTTGCTCCTTCACATTCCATGTTCGCTTTCCGCTCGTGTTGCAATGCATCGCATTTTTGTCAGTTTTGGCCAGAGTTGCCAGCTTTTCAGCTGCAAAAAATGCTAATTTCAAGAGGAAATGGTTTACAGCAAAAAACTAAATTGTATATATAATTATTTAAAAATATGTTTAATGTTTACTTTTGTTACAATCGCATATAATTTTGTAAATAGTTACGGTTCACAAGTATTGATAGTTTTACTTTTAAAAAGGCTAAATTTTATGGTAAACGTTTGGCAACACTGGTTCTGGCAAACATCCAAAATGTTTGACTTCTGCGTTGTCTAATCATATTTCTCATTCTCTCGCTCTGCGTGTCTCGCAGCTAAGCAAATCGCTTGGCACATTTTTAATTTTATTTGATGACGTTTGTGAAATGCTTTGCAAGGCAAATTAAGCTAAAACTCAATGTTGCATAAGCAACAACAACTGAAATAGCAACAACTGACAAGGGAGGGGCCCTACAGACACGTTGACTTCTCAACTTGTTCTTGTCATCGCAAGTTTACTCAGTTGTTGTTGCTATTCTCTCTCTCTCTCTCTTAGGGGGCTAGCCGCTGCCAAGGCCGCGAGATTTGAAATACCGCAACTTCCAGTTTTGTTTACATACATGTTTGAAAAAAAAAAAAATAATGATAATAAAGTGTTTGCCTTAAACAGCACAGTCAAGCAGCCCTACAGGGAACACTCAGCAAGAACTAAGAAAATGCATTTTTTAATAAATTATATTAGAAGAAACTCTATTATTATGGCTACAATATGTTATACCAATATGGACTCAACTCTGATTAGCCTAGTTTTATGACTGTAAATAACGTTTTTTATTGCCAATTGGAATCTGTTTTAAAGAAATCAACGTGAACGAATCACATTTTCTTTCATTTCTGTAGCTTATTTGGTTTTTCAATAAAGTTTCCTTTGACTATTGTTAATTTAATTAATCACCTTCCAATTCATTAGTTAAATTTTGTTTATTAAACGACTGATTAGCTTGTTGACACATACAAATCATATATATTTTCCTTTTTAGTGTTGACACTTTAAATTTTAACAAGCCAAACCCTTACACAAATAGGTGCATTTGTTATCTACAAGACGCGCCCTTAACAAGTTTCAATGTTTTAAAATATATTTAATAAATAAACAAAGCGGAGCATTAGGTACACCACAGGCTGAACTCTGTGTCATCCCCATTTTGTTAAATACTTAGCTCAAAATATGTCAGAGTTAAAGCCAATGAACCGTTGTCTAACTGCACTGAGCCCCAAAATTAATGAAAGGTTAAACACGCTGCGCGGGTGTCAACATATTTAATTAATACGATTATGAGCATGGACCTGGATGGGGTTCGAGATTGGGCCTGGGCCAGCAGATAAGGCAATGATAACTAAAGCAAATGCTTTTTTTTTTGCTTTACCAAATTCAAATTTGGGCCAACAGCAAGCCGTACGAGAGGCTACAGTGAAATTTGCAAACAAAATAAAAAAAGTGGCAACAATTTGTGCAAGACCCATAACAAGCTGAAAGATATCATATAGCTATTATTAAATGTGTATATTTAATATGAGCTGTTTTCAAACAGATAATGAGTATATTAGCTAAGTGTCAGGTTCGACCTTAGCTTAGCCAATTCCAAAATTTTAAAACCTTTTTTTAGTTTTGGAGCCAGACTCAATAGTTGCTGATTATTTATAAAATTGATTTCGAGAAACTTCCTTAGTTGAACTTCCTCATGCCACGCCCATTTTCGAAGCATCCTTCAATTTTCCACTTTCATTTTGAAGGACAGTTCCATCACAGTCACATAAACGCTGTCAAACGATTCCCACTTCAACGATTTTAAATTATTTTCCTTTTTTTTAATTTAATTTTTACTGTGGCCTGATTGACTGGAAATTGATTTATAAGTAGGTACGATATTTGTGCTCTGGCATCTGTATACACTCTCACTTGCCGCATTATTACACACTAATTCAATTAGTTCGGGGAGAGGGAGTGGAAGAGGAAGAGTGGGAGAGGAAGAGTGGGAGAGGTGTGTGCCCGCCCACAACATGGATCGCTTCGAGCACACTCTAATTGGCATTGAAGCACGCCCAATGTTGCCTCCCATAATAATAATATGATTTTGTGTGCTGCGGGCCAAGTAATGTAATTAGTGGAACAGTTAGCAGCCGTCACACGTGGAGCATGATGATGCGGCAGCATTCAAATCCGAAATGAAGTCACGCCCCGAACCCGCAGATACGCCACATATTTGCTTTTATTATTCTCACCCACTCACACAGCTCCACAACTAATGATATCGGCGCACATTGGCATCAAGCGAACATTGCACATTACTCATAACTAAAAATATTTATGCATTGCCCAATTTACATGAGTTTTCCCTTAAAAATATCTAAATTTAATAAACACGATCCTTAAAACTAAAACATAATATCGAGTAATGCTTAAAAGTAAAGCTTTCAAAATCGATATTTGGTGATATAATAGAAGGTATTAAAGACAGCTGATAATTCGTTCTGCGTATGGTATACGAGGATATATATTTCGACTTACAAATCTATGGCTTCTGTAGTTCTCGAGATCTATGAGCTCATACAGACTGACATGTCTAGATAGACTTATCTCGACACAAAAACGTTTATTAGAAACTTCAATTCCCTTACAAGATATTTGATATAACAGCTTTTACAGCACGTAAAAATATATCTTATAAATAGACAAATAATAATATTTCCTATAAATTAAACATAAAGTAAGTCCTAAACTCTGATGGAAAATTTAGCTTTAGGGGAATGTGCTGGGAAAAAGCCAAAGATACTTTTAAGCAACTAAAAAACTTGAATTCCATTACAAGAATTTGTATGCAGATACTCTTACAGCATGAACATATAAGTATATCATATGGTACTAAGTGTGCATTGTAAATTATACCTTCCCACTGCACTTCAGATGCCTGTTTTTCATTAAAATACTTGCGCTTTGCTGCTTATTGCGCACATGTGCACACACACACACATACACACACACATTGAGAGATGAACTTAAGCGAAAAGCAAAATCTTGTAAAAGCCGCCAGTTCGTCTAAGCTTTTAAATAAGTCACGACTCGGGATCTAGAATTTGTTTAGCAAGCATGCGATAAGGCTGAGAACTTGTAATTTTATAGATTAAAATAAGCAAACATTTGTGATAACGCGACAGCTGTAGAATTTTGTTTAAATTGTTTAGCTGAACAGAGAATTTGGCAATTTTAAAACTACTCAGATATTGCTCTAATGTGAACTAATCATTATTTCAGTCTTTACACAATCAACTTTTAAAACTAATCAAGTACATATATCATTTTCGGATACTTTATTTCCTTCAATCCCATGTTTGCCTTTATAAATCACATATATTTCTTGAAACCTTGCAACTTTGATTTATGATAAGCTGTGCTTCGCGTTCCTTGTTTGTTTTGCCCACCTTTGGGCATGACTTCATCCATCTCTTATGTTGAGCACAAACAACATGCATTATAAGCAGGGCTCCATAAAAGCACAATACAAAAATGAGAAGAAAAAAAACATCACCTGGCCCAAAATATCGCGTCAGATACTTGAGTGTGAAACGAGTATTCGTTTAGTTGTGCACATACATATGTATATGTATAATGTATGTATACATTTGTACTTAAATACGCAAATCAAATTAACATCTAGCCCATATACACATAATTTTGTATGTAGAACTTTTATTGGCGGCATTTGTTATGAGTGAAGATTGATTTATATAATATATTTCTCTGTTAATTCGCATGCTACAGTTTCTATTTTGGCTCTGCTCAAATACATTTTTGGGTTTGTACATGTATTTGCCTAAGTGTTTCCTCTATTTAATTGTTTCATACTTGCGCTCGCACTCGCTTTACCCATTCTGTCTGATTGTTTTCGAAAGTGACGCTTCACGTGTTGAGCGCTTTTGTCACGGCTCAACTGGCTGGGCTCTGTTTGCGTATACCCTGTGTTTAGTTGCTGCAAAGGGTGGATTTTATTTGACAACTATTGTTGTACTTGAAATTATTGTAATTTAAATAGAAAGCTAATTATATTTGTATCTGTTCGTTTGACATGTATCTATAATATTTAGCATATGTTTAGTTACAAAATACAAATATTAAAACTATTTTCGAATACCCTTGCTGGAGGTCCTTACTGAGGCATAAAACATTAAATATAAATGTCAAGTTAATTGTTTACTCAAATAAAACTCAATTTTAATGTTTTTTCATAAAAGAATTCCTAATATGTTTTAGTTTAATAACAAACAGCAAAGTAAACGAAAATTAATTTATTTTTGGTTTTTGACATTCAATGGGCACAAATAAACATGCATTTATATATCTTTATATCCTTTAAGTATCACGTTCCAAATCAATTTAATCTTATTTTAAATCTCAATTTTAATAAGTAAAAGTTTAAAAATATCCGTTTGTCCTACTCTGATTCCAATTCCTTCCGTTTAATGGGCACAAATATGTATGAAATGATATATTTTAAATTTAATAAATTACACAAAATCAAATCAATTTGTCTTATTGTGATTCTATATGGATATATTAAATACATTTTCCTACAATTTTATTTTTTAGATAAACGTTTTGCTAAAATAATTTAGACTAAACTCTAGGCAAATTTGTTTGGCACTTTACAAGCACACTTTAGCTTAGTAAAATGTTCTCCCTTTGCCAAGTATCAAATGCGTTAAATATATAAAATTTAAACTATTTTGAATAGGGCAACAATGCGTCGATGCCTTATGAAAAATTATGCTTATTTGTTTTCCTCTCTATACATTATTGCTTTAAAGATATACACGTCTACCTCTTTGTTATTTGTTTGTTGTATTTTTCATGCTTTTCAGTTGCTCGGCGTAGTTTACCCGAGCGGAAGCCTCGCCTCTGAACTTTTCACGTTTACCTGTATGCATGTGTGTGTGTGTGTGTGTTTGTGCTTTAATAAGCGCTACATATTCCTGATTTTGTTTACCTGCCTCATATATGCAAACTAAGTCTTAACATCAGCCAATTTTGTATATTTTTTAGATTTATATCTTTGTACATTTCCATGTGTATATGCCAGGCTCATCTCGTTTGTATAAATACATATTGTTACTGCAACTATTTAATCATTGTTCAAGCAGTTGCTGCCATACTAACAGCTTGTACTGATCCAAGCCTATCGTTACTTTTCTCTATCATTTTAGATATACTGCCCTGGAAGCTATCAGCGCAGTCTCTCCATTTTGGTAAAGCACATTAATATAACAATTGCCAACCCTTTAGCCCACATAAAGCTTTACATAATATGCACTGAATTTGTATAGAAACTAACCACACGAAAGGTTGACCTGAATTTCTTGCACATGATGTCAAAGGTTTTATCGATTCTCTTGAGTACGACCTTCACTTGTCTAATTGAGGAGCACAGCTCATCCAACAGCTGAGTTCCTGAATGATTAATTCATGCATGTCATGCATAATTTAATTGTAATTTAATGTGCTTGTGATAATCTCAGCTCATAACTTTCAGGCACTTTCCATGCACACATAAGTCATGCGATTATTATTTACCTAACTTTCCATACTCGAAACCGTTTAAAGCCGTATTCATGATGTTGTTGTATCTATGTAAATGCACAAGATGCAGCTGTTTCTGAATTCATATTGCCGCCCGCCTTTTAAGGCGAACCGACTGACAGTCGTGCTAATATTGACATTGAAAATGGTGTCTAGTGGAAAAACTCGAAACCCAAGACCGAACCCGAAACCGAGACCCGTTCCTACGCTGAGAATGAGTCAAGTTATTAGCTTTTCTTTTCTATTTCTATTTTGATGGATGAGGAAAAGTGAAAAAAGCGAATAACTGCAGATGCAATCAGTTTTATGGTTTGTGAGTTTTCTTTTTGTTGACTCAGGGCCATCGAATGCTCCATTTGGGCCGCAAATTGCCGAGGCGAGAGACCTTCACACAATTGATGCTAATCAAATAAATTGTTAATAATACACGCTCTTACTATAGTTGCAAAATTTGCCGGAATTGACACAATTGTCGGCACCGGCAAACCAAAGCAAAAGGCAAACAAACAAAAATAAATAAATTAAATGTATCCCACATTTTATGTTTCTATAGCAAAAATATTGTGCGCAAAAAGCTAAGAAAAAAATGAACTTCTCACACGTTGTTTTTTTGCATTTGTCTTACTTAGATTTTGGGAATTTTTGTTCGCATTTCCACACAAAAGAAAAAATATTCTACAATAATAAAACAATATTTTTGCGGCTTTGTATTGGCCGCCTCACTTGACCCACAATAAAAACTTTTCTGCGAATTCGACGCGCTGCGAATTTATAAAAATTAATGGCATCTTAATTTATGATCTTGCCTCGGATTTTCTGCACTGATAAATACTACGAAGAACGATAAACAAACAATTCTCTAGATCTTATTTAAATTGTGTGCACCCTCAAGTGAAAGAACAACAACAGGCAGCGCGAAAGGTGTTAAATCCGTGTGTTTAACTCGTGTCGGCAAATTGTAACTTTGTAAAGATGTAAGAGAAACGCCAGATACGATCGAACGTACGACCAGGTGAAAGGTGCGAATATTGTTCTCTCTTACAAATCAAAGATTTACAATGATGGGGCGAATTTAAAAAGATGTTTGCAACTTATATGATTCAGGAGCGCATTTGGCGATACTTTATCATAATATTTATAAGATAATAATCAATTTACAGGCTTTATTTAGGTTTGAAAAAAATCGAACGAGTAAATAAATATGGTTTTCACTCAAAATATAAAGTATAAGTAATATACACAAACTCCTTTCTACAGTAAGTAATTATTATAGAATATGTAATAATATAGAATCTTCTATAAATATTCACAATATTTTACACGTCTTAAACTACTAGAATTTTATCCCTTACTGAAATTTTATTGCCAGAATAATACAACTTAAGCAAATATCTTGCTCTGAAGAGTTTATTAATAATGCTTAAATTTTGTTTTAAGTAGTCTGGGAACTTCGTGTAATTAGGGCAGTAGGGCCTTCAACTTTCTATAAGAGCCCTAAAAACGCACACAGACAGAGATGATTCTGTGATAAATCAGACGAGTAAAGGTCGCTGACATGTCGCATTGTGAGTTGTGTGTCCACATACCCTTTGAAAGCATATGCGACAATAACAAAAATACAAAAAGCAGAATGCGAATGAAATCCACGACAGATCCAAACTCTGACTTCGGCGCAGAGAGACAAAGCTTGTATTGTATGAAGCTCCATACGGAAGCGAGTTAACTATTTTTTGTTTTTTTTTATTTTTCAGTTTTTTATTTTAGCTTAGTAAGTGTGTCAACTCGAGACTCGAGACACACAACAAACGATGTCGGTTCTAATGTGCCATACCGAATACTGAATATTTGCCAAACAACTTTGCAGATATATGCATATGCATATATATAGATAGATGTGTCACGGGCTGGTGTACAAATTTCTATAGCAAATGCAAACAATTTGTCTCACACACGCATCGACTAGTCGCACACCCTGCCCCTGGCCTATCCGCCGCCTGTAAATGTGAATGACATTTGCACAAATATTGGCAATTGGGGAAAATGTTGACGGTAGTCGTAAATATGATTGTTGCGCATCTGAGAAAATGCATTTCAATTTTACGATGCGACATTATTTCACTGCACATGTTTTTTAATGATAGATGCGCAAATAGAGGGCTGTACCAGGCAGTTGGTTGAGGGGCTGGGCCTGTTAGTTTGCTTAGAGAGCCTGCAAACAAGTTAAATGAGAAAAAGTTAAATTGATGTTGGAGTTGCTGCTGTTGTAGGGTGGTGGGGGGTAGGTGGGAGGGAGGCTGCTGGATGGAAGATGGGCGGCTTGTTTGCGTATTATGCAATAGAGTAAAGTGCAAGAGTAGCAACAACAATTACGCTGAGAGACAGTTGTCAACAAAAAAAAACAACAACAACTTATGTCAACATAGTAAAACAAAAAAAAAAAAAGTCGCAGACGTTTGCAAATAACAAAAGTGCGAGATGCGCAAAGCGAAAGGGTAGTTGCTGTGGAGGAGGATGAGGGAGAGCTCTATGTACAGAGGGCGATGGCACTTAAACAGTTTATAGATTGGTTTATGGGGCGTGGCTCTGTGTGTGTGTGTGTGTGTGTGTATAGATACAATTCGAATTGCACATTTTTCATCTGAAAGTTTAATAGTTTAATGGTTGATTGGAGGAAGTTCGTTAAGTTAGACAATCAAAAAACTTTCTTTACATTCGTGAATATGTGAATCCTGTAGTTATAGTATCAGGATCTTTTCATAGAATGTATAATAAGAAAAGTTTCTCTTCTCTCTCTCTCTCTCTCTCTCTCTCTCTCTCTCTCTCTCTCTCTCTCTCTCTCTCTCTCTCTCTTTTTCTTAACTTGAATACAACGATCGCTCAGAGATTAGAACTTCTACAAGACAATCCAATATACATTCAATATCTCATTATATATCTGTGAAACCAGTATTATAAACACTTGACAAAAGTCATCTTGGAAATCTTCTAATGAAATGTAATGTAAATGAACGAACTCAAACTAAGACTTTCGACTTTGTTAACGCTCCGATCTTCAAGTATTTAAAGTCATTCAATTATAATATTTGTGTCTGCAAATGCCACATACTAAATCAGAACATTTTGATGTTTGAGTTAAAGCTGAAATATTCCATTTGCTAAATATTTTCAACATACAACTCCGCTGATTAAATACTGAAACTTAACATTGTAGCAGATATTACGAATTGAAATATCATTTGCAAGCTGAAACTTGTAAAACCTGTTTAATTTATTAACAGTGAATGTGCTTATTCAGTCGTAAGTACAAGTACATCCATACTTAGATTGCAAGAAAATACTTACACGATTTGTCGTGTTCAATTGTGAGCATCAGAGAAAGCTTTTCAAATATTTGCTACTCTTTACCTGCAATCGTACTATATCAAAAGAATTTAATCAAGCGTGTAAAGTTGTATTGGATATAAAAACAATTACAAATGTTCCCATTTTCTGCGCAAAGTGAACATTTAAACAGCTGCCTTTAAGGCCTTAAGTATCTAGTACTTCACAAATATTAACAGTTGAATACCTTCTAAGTAGCCTAATGAGAAAATTCACCTGTCAGTCTCACCTTTCAAGGTCAAATGCTACACATTACTCATTTACTTTGTACTTCCCGCCTGCCCACCTTGGCAACTTTTGCTACTTATTTAAAAAAAAATAACTGCCCTGCGGCAGTTGCCCAACCGCTTTTGCTGACCGGCTAAAAGACAACAACGGCAATCCATTTAAGAGCTGCACTCAGATACGGGGGGTCAGCCTTGAGGACAACTTCAAAGCGGGCAAAAATAAACCACGCATGGCAGAGCAAGTGCAGTGCAGAGGAAAACGCGCACAAAATGTGGAAAAAAGTTCCCACGCGACAAAAGTGTAAAAGCTAAGCGTATAGAAAACAACAACTAAGACAACAATAATAGCACGTGAAGTTTTTCAATTCTTGGTCGTGTGCAACAGCAAAAATTAACTTTAAGAAACCAGTAGGAAAGCTCTAGTTAAGGAAACACGACTCGAAAATACCCTGTGTCCAAATCTGAAGTAGGTCAAAGCAAAAATGATTTGCACACGACTGGAATCATTTGTTAAGACGGAAGTTCTTCTGGCCAATTGCCGGCAAATATCGCTTTATTATCGCTTTCTTAACACCCAGGTGGAAAAGTGTTTTTTCCTCTTGCTTAGTTTAATGCACACATTTTCGCACATTCTAGAGGGTATAGGAAAATAATTTAGCACATTTCAAAGCACTTGATACCGTTTCGAAGAAAGTAAAAGAAAAGCAAACACAACGATATAAGAAGGAAAAAAACATTTTTGGAGTAAAAAGCGTATATGACAAACATTGTTAAAAGAATATTGCGACGTCTTCAGTCCTCACTCGTAATTGCCCCCATCTACAATTTAATGAACGTTGTGCTTGGCGTCTGCTTGGGAAAGTTGACAGTTTCAGTGCAGGAAAATTGTGTGTGTTTGTGTGTGTGCGTGTGTGTTTAGACACACACAGACACGTGTGTAAATAGAGAGATGTGGCTACTTTCTAAAAAGTACTTAGCACTTTCAATTGTATAAGCGCAGCCATAAATAGTTGTAAAACAACAGACAAGAACCTGTCAGCGCCTGTCGACTATACTAATTA